GAGACATCTTCGACCTGGAATCGGCAGCTAGACCGAATCTGTTTTCACGCCTCGAAACAAAAGAAGCGAAGGGCAACAATCACAACTTCGAACCCCGAAATGGAAACAAATGAGCGACTGCTGAAATATCAACCAAAGGGCCAGCTGGGAGCACCGTCGAGAAGGTAAGCCTTATGAATCGTCTGCGGATGGATCGTCAGCGAGAAACTTGCGGAAAGAGAACTTGAGAGTTAGAGCTGGAGTTGGAGCATCGGAGACCCACCTTGGAAGAGCTGAAAATGGTACAACCAGCCCAAATCTCCAGGGACTCAAGTAACCAAGTCGCAAAGGGGACTCTGTTCAGAGTGCGTGAGCTGGTCGAAATGGTTGAGGATGGAGCCGTCGCAACATTCCTGCCTTAGTTAAAACCGCTCACATGTTTCATTAATGCATCACATTTCTTTATCGCTTCTTTCTGGTAGCAGACTATTGAGCAAAGATAAGCCTGCAAACCGAGTGTCTGAGCCCCGGTAGCATAGCTGGTTAATGCTTCGTGCTTATATATCCACAAATATATTTCTCTACGCGAGGATCGAGGGTTCGAACCCCTCCCGGAGCACTTCGTCTTTTGTTCGGACGTCCCATGTTTTTTTCCCACTTTCCTGTTGAAAAATTATCATTTAAAGAGGTTTGTTTCATGTTTCTGCTTTGTCGTTTGTTGGAGGTGTTGGAGGTGTTGGAGGATAGCCTCGCATCCTGTCACGTGGTGCCATAAAAATTGCCACCGATCTAGTCAAGTTCTGCCTTCTCCCCAAAGCTCAAACGCATCCTCCCTGGCTTTACCCAACGTCAGGATGTCTTCCTCCAGCTCAAAGCCACGCGGTAAGAAGCGGTCCCTTCACGAATCCAGCATCTCCTCGCCCACCGCTCAAGCCGCGCCAAAACGAGCTCTTTCCAGCTCGCTAGCTTCTTTGGATGGATTGGTCAAGCCTGAGAAAAAGCTGCAGGGGATACTGAGGAAGGATTCGTCGAGTAGTTTGGGTGAGAAAGAGGCGCCGGGGAAGGGGATGGAGAGGGGGCTGTTGCTCGCTTTTTTGGACAGTGCGTTGGCGGATAAGAAGCAGGTGCGTGTCCTCGCATTATCTTTCGTCATGGGTGTTGAATGTATTGCCTGTAGGGAAAGCAAGAGAGGTATCGAGAGTTCGTAGCAGACTTACGATCCTTTTCCACCCCTTTCAACCCTTCATCGTCAAAATCCAAACTCTCTAAACAGCTGCCCACGCAAAAGACTCTCCTTTCATACCTTCAAGTCCTCCCACACGTTGCTTCGCAGCTGGATCGATCTCACGAAGACCTTGTAGCTGCTATCCTGGACTTGCCATGGACGATCATGGATGTGGAAGAGCTTGAGGAGAAGGAGATACCTAAGAAATTGCGTGGGATACCAGGTGCGTTCGTCAGATGTGTAGGAGCACTATGCAGTGCGAAGAGCACGTTATGGGTGAGCAAAGTGCTCGAGAAGAGCGTCAACGGTTTCCGTTATGGTTCGCTGCTTATCCCTTCGTGTTTCGACATGCTGAGAGGGACATGTAGACGCATTCAAGTCACTCCGGACAGCACCAAACCAACTCTCTTTGGAAGAACAAGAGTCCGCCCCGAAACCCTCGCGTGCTCTACACTCTATGAGACTGCACTACCTCCTTCGACACCTCATCGATCTCATACCTACAATATCAACTGCCATCGTTCCCTACCTCGAAAAATCCTTCCCTGGCAAGCGGTCGAAGCGAGATGAGCAGGTGGTGTACGTCGAGAATCTGCTCAAGCTTCTCGAGTATTGCGGTGGGATCGAGGAGACGGTGACAGAGATGGTCGTCGTACGCGCCATCAAGTTAGATGTCAGTCAAAAATCTCTCCTCTATATTCCAAGCCGCTAATAGGGTGCAAAGATCGAACTGCAAATCGATTTAGAAGACTGGGAACAGGACGGAGCTTTCGACGAGACCCCTTTCTTTCTCCCTCCGGACCCATTCAAACGACATCTCCATTCTCCTTCTCCGTCCCCACCTCGCTCTCGTTCCTCCTCAGTTTCCTCTTTCTCCACAACATCTTCCTCTTCTTTAGACCTTTCAGACGTGGACTCAGATGGCGACTCCGCGTTGGGAGATGGAGGGGGCGGAGCGAACGAGGATGAGAAAGAGGAGAAGGTGGAGGAGCGGAAAGAGAGCCTTTCTACGATTCGGGAACGGGTGAGGACGCTCGATGGCGTCATGGCTGCTCTTTTGCGGTTCTGGGAGAAGAGAGGAGAGGAACGACCAAGAGAAGTTCTCATGCCCTTCAGCGGTAATTTACCGACGGACGTGGCGCTCAT